TTTTTAAATATTATATCTGACGTTTATAATCCAATACATTAAAAACTCGAGCACTTTAAACGATTTTAATAAAATAATTAAAATTTATATTTTATTTAGTATTTTTATTTAATTACTATTTTTCGTCATAACTTCTTTTTTCCAATACTAATTAATTTTTTGTTGAATTTAGACTCAAAATTTTATTATGCTATTAAGCTTCTTTTACATTGTTTTTAATCTTTATCGTACAAGATCGGATTACTAGTGACCGAACAATCCTGTTCGTGCAAGTTTCTTTGTCTTTCGATAATTATAAATTATATCATATTTTATTATTTTAAATGAAATTTCGATATTTATTCTAGAAAATTGAAAGAATGATAAATTTTTAGAGATTTTTGAATCATTCTGAATAGGTGAAAAAAATGAACGGATTCTAATGACTCGTGTTTGGACAGATGAGGCATCAAATTGTACCTTGTATTGTAAGGGTTAAATAATATAGATTAGCTTTTCTATGACTCTAAATATTAAAATTTACATATTTGATATTGGTCATGAAAAATTTTTCATTTTCATCTGGAAAACTTGGAAAAGTCAGGAAATTTTAAAATTTATTTTCTGTGGCAACTCTGTATTTAATTCGCAAACAAAGAGAAAGAAGAAACATTATTTGTATAACATGTTAAATTAGGTTTTAGGAGTCGATGATGGTACAAATAAAGTACAAGTTGGAACTCCATTTTCGTTATACATGAAAGCGATAACGGTTGTCAATAACAAGCATAGATATCAAAATAAAAGTTCTATGAGCACTGAAATTTCTTTAAAAAATTATTTAGCTATACAGGTACTTTTTTCTGTTAAATATAAGATAAAGTTATTAATTTTACATTCTAACATAATTTGTTTTTTGTTATATATAGGACATATATAAAAAACCGAATCTTTTTGCATTATTAGTACATTCGTTATGTCCTAATATATACGGCCATGAGATAGTTAAAGCTGGATTGATATTGAGTTTATTTGGAGGTAATGCAAAATGTACACAATTACGAGACGATATACATATTCTGTTAGTTGGAGATCCTGGTCTTGGCAAATCGCAGATGTTACAAGCTTGTGCTCGAATATCTACAAAAGGTATACGTGAGAAAACGAATAGTTTTCTAAGCTTCTTTATATAGTATATAAGTATTTTATATGGACATATATAAATATATAAATATATAAATATTATTGTTAAAAGGTGTGTACATCTGTGGCAATTCAAGTACATCCTCTGGATTAACAGTAACTCTTACAAAAGAAACGGGATCAAATGATTTTGCTTTAGAACCTGGTGCTTTAGTTTTAGCAGATCAAGGTTGTTGCTGCATTGATGAATTCGATAAAATGTGCTCTCAGCATCAAGTAAAATAACATGGATATTGTTTACAATATAGCAAACGTACTAAAATATGTGCAATAAATGAATGTTATTAATGTAGAAATTAGTGTTTAACAATTTTAACATTTTCAATAAATCATTTTTTAATTATATTGATACAGTATAAAGCTTTATAAATGACTAAATTATTTTTACATATATTATTCCAGGCGTTATTAGAATCAATGGAACAACAAAGCATTACTGTTGCAAAATCAGGTGTAATATGTTCCCTTCCTGCACGGATATCAATTCTGGCAGCGGCTAATCCTATCGGAGGCCAATATGATAAAAGCAAAACAGTAAATGAAAATTTGCATATAAGTCAACCTATTCTCTCACGATTTGATTTAATTTTTTTATTATTAGATAAACCAAATAAGGTAAATATTCGTAAATAAAATATTAGTGCAATATATAGAATGATTTTTATGCAGAACATCTTATTTCAAACAATCTAGCAGAATATCTTGAAAATTGAGCTAAAGATAAAAAAACGTTTTAGACAAATGTTATATGATCTGAGAAGGAATAAATAATGGTAAAATTAATTTGTCAAAAAATTGATTTTTAAGAGGTTTCTTTGCTGAAGATCGTTTTTAAGACAGTTTTTACGATTTTTTTTTCAAAGAACGCACAACCAATTAACTAAAATTTATATTTACTACTTAAAAGGTACAAAAACCTATTTTAGTTAAATTTATAACATTTATTTTATTTAATTAAATAAATTAAATAAATAATTTTGGTCAATCTAGTTTGTAATTAAATTAAACTAAAACAAATTTAATCATTCTTTTGAGAACGCTAAGTCAATACTATTCCAGTTGCGGGTTTCTCTAAACGTTTTATCGACAATTATTGCAATTAATTAGCGATAGCCGCAATGCGGCGAGTGCTGCGCTTTTTTCCAGGATAGTCCTGCCTGTGGCTGTCGCTAGTTAACGATAGCGACAATCAATAAAATCAAATTTGAAAAAGTAAGAACTTTATAAAAATTAAAAAATTAACTTTATAAAAATTAAAAGATTTTTTTAACTTTTAAAGGGATTCTAAAGACAATTAGTCGTAGTGTATATAGAACTTACATACAGATGATTTACATGTTATTGACATATCATATACTACTACACCAATATCTCAAGCACACATATACATAAATTTTCGTGTAACGATAACATTTTTTAATTGGATGTCTAAGTTCAATTCTAAAAATCCCACATTGTTTCTTCGTGCGAACTAGTAGTCTATGGACTACTATTTCGTAAATATGATACATAGATTTACGAGGTATTAGGAATCTACAGCATACAGTTAGCACTGGTACTAACTCTTGTTCAAATAAACTCAATGATAAAAATTTATAATAATACTGAATGATAAAAATAAAATTTAATAATTTCTGGACGTTTCGGCTCGACTTTGAGCCATCCTCAACATGTACGTATATAATTAATTACCGGCCTTCAAACATTGTATCGTTGTTAAGTGAATCGTAAAATACATATATTCTTCCTTCCAAATGCAAATTACGACCATGTAGTAAAGCGCGACCATCCTCAACATTAATCAATGTTATGACACTTCAATTTCATAGAGTGATGATTGATTGACCATCTCAATACTCACAGAACACAGCAATCCGCTTATATATAATAATAGTTCGTTACATTGATAATAAAAAGAATATAAAAAACCAATTGTATATTGCACATAGTCAAACATTAAGTTTAAAATATTAATCGACAAGGAATTTGTCATGTATCACAAGTTATACGTTCAAAAATATAACTGTTAAGTATATTGATCACGAAACAAAGTTTAAAAAATATAACTGAACTATTATTAAGTACGGATTGCTATGTACTATTTATAATAATCATTTATTATAATAATATTATTTATTATAATAATCATTGTCATTAAAATATTTGGATAGAAATTTACATTACAAGCATATTAACGATGATGCAATTATTGCGACGTGTTTATTAAGATGTTATGAGAGCGTGTGAGAGGCTAAATAAAAATTGTCGTTATTAGGATAAAAGAGTATAATAAATAAATTATAAAATAATATAAACAATAAAATAAGAGATATTAAGAATAAAACATAAAAATATCAATCTTTCTTAAATAATTCATGATATAAAAAATTCAATACATATCAGTATCCTCCTGTAATTTTAATTGACCATGGTGCGACTCAATAATGGCATTTCGGACCACGCGCTTTTATATTTAAACCGCTCTTGCTTCGTTAATTTTTTGTATCCTTAAAACTTCACAAAAAATATTCTTAAATACATTGTATATTTCGAGAAAATGAAATAATTTTATCAAAAGAATTCTCTTCTAAGATCATTGCCATTTTTAAAATAAAATTATATAAAACATTTTTATTTATCGAGCTCAATGTTTAAGATATTTAGCTGGATTTAAAATGGGACTTTATATAATAATTATTATAATTATTTTTTCTCTATATATAATAGCATTTTGATAACCTATTATGTAAACATATCATGACTGTTCATACCAATTCACATACAAATTCCAATGAAGAAATTACGAAATTATTTTTCCACAATGAATGTGCTTTGAGGTAAGAAAAGTGATATTCCATTTCTTTTTAATAAAATAGATTTTTTTATTAACAACAATGATTTTCAAATTTGTTATTAATAATTTTCATCATAATTTAACTTGTTTATTAGGAGAAATGGGAAAACAAAATGGAAAAAAATATTTTTAATAAATTTTGTCATATTAAATAAAATTTAAATTTATCAATGAAATGCAGAAATTTACATATTGTTCTATTTAAAAAATGAAGAATATCGCTATGTAACAAATAACAATCTTTTTAAATCAAATAAATTTTATTTGATTTAAAAAAATAATGTTTAAATCCAAGAAATTTTTTCATTTAATCGAAATTTTTTTAAATTGAAGCAATCTTTTCTCTGGATGTGAGTAAAACAAAATAACGAGATTACTTTAAAACACTTATAAAAATGAAAAACTAACTCCTTACACCCTCTCCCCCTCTCCCCCCCCCTCCTCTCAATATACAGCCGTAAAGGACACGTAAAGTGCATTTATCAGCGTTTACTCAATGCGCATGCGTAGCCTATTTTCTTGTACCTACATCTATTTCCACCAATGTAGATTAATTTTAATCTCAGTCCAACTTATTTTTTTTCTCATTTTTAGAACTAAAAAAAGATGAAGAGTAAGTGGAACCGAAATTAAAATTAATTTACATTGTGGAAATGGATATTAACGTGTCTTATGGTTGTTTACTAACTTAAATCAGAGAGGGGAGAGGTAAAGATAGCTACTAATACATTTTTATAAGTATTTTAAGTGATTATTTCATTTATCTCATTATTTTGTTCAAATACTCTTTCAGAAATGACATGCAGAAAAACTTTAACATGCTATTTCTGGTTTTATGATACATAATTCTGTATTACTGGTGACTACACAGTCTTATTATTGTGTCTTATAAAATCGCAATGTGACTCAACGAATTGGAAATAAAGGCCTTAAACGGTTAAGTTGGATCTTTGAAATACTTTTATGCGAATTTATATATCTATTTATACATATATGCAATTTCTCAAACTGTGCATCGAATTAATTTTTAGTCTTGAAATGCAATTCTAATAGAGCTAGAGTAGTAATATCACAAATTAAATTGACAAGCAATTTAATTATATTGATGATCATAAGATATTTTAGATTGATCTTAATATTTTGATGCTGATAAGCATCCTAAAATCTGTAAATAATTTTATTACGAAAAATGTTATCGGGGATTGAACCCGAATCTTTTGCATTCCAAGCGAGCGTCCTAAGGTTTTAGATCACCAAGAGACATCAGTAATTCTTCGCAATAACTCATACATATGAAAGTATTTAAAAGGTGTATAAACAAAGTATTCTATTACAGAGTATCCCGAATTTAAATGGCAAACTTGGGGAGTGTGTAAGGGATCAATAAAAAGAAAAAAAAATCCTTTAGAAATGTGCTTATTTTTGCTACGTTTTAAAGAAAATTGCCAAAAAGAAAAGAAAAGAAACGAAATATAATTTTCATTTTTGTACTTATTACTTATTTATTCACACTTATTTATTCACATTGTCACCCAATTGACCCAATCAGCAATATTTAATGTAAAAATATTAAATGTTTAAAAACTATTTTTTAAATATTGTGTGCTGATTGAGCACTTGCTTAATGCAGATATTGTTCAAAATGTTGGCCTCTTGTAGCAATGCAGATGCATTGCATCTTGTATGAACAGCTTATGTTGCAACTAAAGACTGATTTGGTCAATGTAATGACTCACCGATCTAGTACTCTTCTGTCTGGAAGTCAGCGCGCTCTACTCTTATCTCTCTATCTTATACTGTTTCTAAAGCATTATTGCTGAAATCGTACGCGAAAACAATAATATTCCGCTTTAAAAATAATATTTCGAAAATTACATTTTTTGGGAATTTTCTCTAAAATGAAACAAAAATTAACGAATATCTCTCTAAAGGATTTTTTTTTAGTTTATCGATTCCTTACATGCTTCTCAAGTTTGGCCAATTAAATTCAAGACGCCTTGTGTATAAGTTATCACGAAGAATATTATAAGGCTTCGATGGTTTAAAGGCTTAGGATGCTTGTAAAGAATGCAAAACGATCCAGGTTTGCCTGGCCGAAGTATTTTTCACGAATATTTTTCACAATAAAATTATTTACAAATTTTATAATGATTATGAGCAGTATATTAATTTTCACCGTGTATACATTTTTTTAGTACCCATTATACTGGAGTCATTCATGTCCGGCGTATTTTTTTTAATGGATTAAGTTCAAAAAATATTTTAAAAATTCATGTAGCTTCCTTAACTATTCTGAATGAAAGATTTATATATAACAAATCTATTTGTTTAAATATTTTATTTTTACAAACAAATGTATATGTAAACACAAATGTGAATATGATAGTGGTACATTAAAAAATTTGTAACTTTTAATCAAATCGATGAAATCTAATAATTAAAAAAAGAAAATAAAGTTCAAAGTTCATATTTTAAGAGAAAAAAATATGCTAACAAATTTTTTTAATTTAAAGGCTTAAGCTCGGGACATAAAATCTTACAATTTCGAAACTTATAAAAATAAGCGTTCTTATGAAAAATTGACATTTAATAACTTTACAAAATTTTTATTCAAAATCTGTAATCTCATACACTTTCGTAAATAAAAAAATATTAGGTGTGAGAAAAAGTTCGTGGCGTTACATCTAACGGGAAAAACGCCACGAACTTTTTCCCACACCTAATACATATGGCATGATAGATGTAAAAGAACAAAGAAATCGTTCTCTTACAATGTCATCTCTTTTGCAGAGCTTGACATTTTTGATTTGACATTTTTATTCTAAGATAACATTGAATAAAAATTTTTTCGTTATGTGCTTTACTTATAAAAATAGTCAAGAAATACGAAAAAAATCATTTTCTTATTTGTATGAAATATGCGTTGAGTGTATACGGGGATCATTTGTCCTCACTCGATTTTGAATATCAGAGAAAATGATATCCATTGTTGGGGGCCATTTCTTCCTTCACGTCACAAATTTTTTTAGGAGCAGAACGGTGCGCTTGTACTCACTTGTTTTCAAAATATTCAGGACTGCGTTCAGGAATTATGCCCAGATAATTTTTAAGCTATAGATTACATTACGTATATTATAACAAAAATGCATACATAGTTATCTAGGCGTAATTCCTGAACGCAGCCCTGAACTATAAAAATCGCCTAGACACAAATGATACCCGTATATACGGCGAGGGTTAGATTTAATCTAAGATATTTCATAAGCGTTAATATAATTAAATTGCTCGTCAATTTAATGTGTGATATTATTATTTTAATTCCATTAAGTCATGTATATGTATACTTAGCGAACGAACAGTGAACTAAACAAAAAGTGAATGCAAAACTTTATGATATTATTTGTTGTACATAAAAGTTGCATAAGTTTAATTGTTATGTGCAACGAACGTTGAATCTGATCGAATGCTAGTATTCAGTATAATCTAGAAAAAGAATAAACTGCTTACAAACACAAACACGAACATTCGGTGTTTGTTCGCTAGATGTAATACGGTTTTAGAATTGCATTTCAAGACTGAAAATAAATTCGGCGCATAGTTTGAGAAACTGGATATGTTCTATGTATATTCTATGTATAAATTCACATAGAATTATTTCAGCGCTAAATTTCCAGCTTGATCGTTCAGGATTTTTACTCCCAATTCCTTAATAATTTTGTTGTAATTATTTTTTATTTTAAATAAAAGTGAATTTAACTGTGAAATAAATATTTTCAGAAAAAAGCTGATGTTGCCATTGGCCTCTGAAATTATACCACAGTCTATTCTTCGAACTTACATTTCCTATGCCCGAGAATATGTGAAACCGAAATTATCCGTTGAAGCCGCAACAGTATTACAAAATTATTATTTAAAACTTCGAGCGAAAAAAGAGCAATTTAGTAGCATACCAATATTCAATAGACAATTAGAAGCTATGATTCGATTAACTGAGGTTTAATACTTTATATGTGTCATAAATCAAAATATATCAAATGAGATAATTTATATCATTTTATTATAGGCTAGGGCAAAACTGGAATTACGTATGGAAGCAATTGAATCGGATGCATTGGACGTAATAGATATATTGCGATATGCAATGATAGATACAATAGAAGATGATCATGATGTAATGCCAAAATTACATTCTGATGGAAAATTAACAAATAGAAAGGTAAATTGTGCATATGTGCATGTGTGTACATGTTTTTATTTAATAAATTATTTACATTTATATGAAAAATTAAAATGTCTACATTTAATATTCTTTATTTATAATAATTCTTTCTTACAGCTAAAAACATTCATAAAGATACTAGAAAAAAAGGTAACTGCAGATAAGGAACACATATTTTCAGTAAAAGAATTGGAAGCACTTGCAGTATCTGAAAATATTTTAATGGACAATTTAACTGTTTTAATTTCAAAATTAAATGAAGAGGGTATTTTATTAAAAATTAGAAAAGATATGTATAAATTTATTCATTATACTTCATAATGTAATATAATTCTTATATATAGTGTAATATAAAAATTTAATATGTAAAATATGTGATATTAATTATGCAAAAATAAATATAAGTTTATTTTTCTAAATTTATATAAATTTCTGTTACATAATAATTACATAAATTATATTGTGAAAATATTATATATCAATATGTGAAAATATTATTTATTCTAGTATTTTTTATTCTAAATAATGGTATAAAACAACAATAATATCAATTTGAGGCTAATAAGAATCAACGCAGGACGAGATGCGTAATCTTATTAACGTGAAATGATGACTTAATTCTAATATCTCTGTGATATCTTCTTTATTCACAATCGTCTTAAATTTATTCTCTTTTGTTGAAGAATATGATATTAAAAATCATGGTTCTCAATTTTTGTCTTCACCAACACTATTGTTAATATTCTCCTGTTCAAACTAAATACGTTTGAGAAACAAATATTTAAGTCGATAGTGAATTGAAAAAATATGAATTACAAGTCGTAACATTTTTGCCATGAAATTTAGGATCTGAGAATAAAATATCTCTGTCAATCATTTCTATCACTGTGCTCTTTTTCTGAGAAATTGAAAAGATAAATAATTAAGGTATCGCCCTGAAAACGAGAGTTTGTGATACCAGTTAAATTCTAAAATATTGTTATTTTTAATTATAGTAAAGTCTAAAAAATTAATTCTCTCACCTCCATTTTCCATTGTAAATTCGAGTCTGCTATGAAATGAATTAAAAGTTTTTAATATGTCATCAAAGTTAAAAGGAACTGCCAATATTATCATCTACATATCTCAGGTAAAAAGGTAATCTTAATATCTTAAGAGCTCAGATTTCTAAATCTTATAAAACCAAATCTGATCAGAGAGAATGCAGCAAATCCGTCGGTACCAAAATTTTATAATATTCATCATTGAAGCTGAAATATCAAATCTAATACTAATTTAACTGCTTGTATAATTTAAGTGATATCATATCATACTATTTGTAATTCATACTCTTTTAAAAAATAACTCCAGCGAATTTTAATACCATTTTTTAACTGTCGACTTAAATATTTGTTTCTCATACGTATTTCATTTGAACAGGAGAATATTAACAATAATATTAGGACAAAGATCGAGAACTATAGTTTTTAATATCATATTTTTCAACAATAGAGAGTAAATTAAGGCGATTTAGTACTAAGCTTAGTATTAACACATTACATACGTATTTACATATGTACATAATATACTTACATACATACATAGATATACATAAAATTACATCTTTATTAGGTCTATTCTTATTTCTGCATTCTCTGAACTGATACAACTGTAGTACATAATACAATAAATGAAGAACAAATATACATTTTATTTCAACTTATTGCATCATGTGCACCGATAGATAATGCAGGAATAAAAAGCAGACCTTACAACGATGTCAGCGTGCTAATATAGGGGAAAATGGGGGAATTGTGCACACTTAAAGGGAATTCATTGCTGTGATTGATATAATTTTTGAAGTTGAAGTCAATATAAACACAGAAATACAAAGTAAACATTCTTTTAATGATGATATGCATTCTTACATTGAACAATTTTTCATTCGATAATTATTTATCGATAAATATTTAGCAAAAAATAAAAAAGCAAAAGCGAAAAAATTTTTGCATTTTGGATAAGTGTGCGCATGGATTGGATAATTGTGCGCAAATCGTAAGATATAAAATATAAAATTAATAAAATAAATATTTCATGGAAAATGTTTATAAAATGTTGATAAAAAAATGAAAATTCTGTTATTATATCAATGTTAATACAAAATTAATATAAACTTTGAAAAAATAATATAAACATTGAAAAAATTAATTATTTAAAAATCGCATATGTAATTCTCATCAGGTCCACTGCATTATTCTTGGAGCCGTTCGGAATACAGGCAGCATTGAAACTATCCAATCGACACAAACTAAAAGTAATATAATGTTAATGTCAACAATATAATTCTCAAGCAACACATAAAAATCAAAATAATGTTTAAAGTCAATAAACAATCAAATTTTGTATCCAAAAATCATCATTTTGACATTGAAGTACATTTCGATTTAGGCTGCGTTCCATTTAACGCTCAGAACGCTCGTGAAATCATTTCATCTTTAATCAAATATTAAACAAATGTCGTTAATCAAATGTTAAATAAGGACAAACGATGTTCGTGAGCGTTGCGAGTGTTAAGTGGAACGCAGCCTTATGCCCGTATTCATAGTCAGACCTTGTACTTAAGGCTAATTTATCTTTAAATGCTCAGCAGCCAATGAAATACTTCGTAAAGATAAATTTAAGAACGCCTTAAATATAAGGCCTGACTATGAATACGAGTATTAGTGTGTTCCTTGGGCTATTAGCACCATGTGTTGTTATATTTACATTGTGGAATACAAAATCATTAATATCATGTTATTTTTAGTTTATCAACTGAACAGAGTTCCATATCTTATTCCGAATTCTTCGCAAATAGTACATTTTTTATTGAGAGGAAACTAAAATCTTGCATATGAGTCTGCTACATTCATGTGTAACGATTTATTTTTAGATATAAAACTATTATCTATTTTTAGATGTAAGACTATTATCAGTTTCTAGTAAAGCGAAAGAAATTTTCAATTAATAGGGTATTTTTTTATTTATTTCAAAAAAATAAATAATTTCATTTTATAATCTAATCTTAGAAATTTACAACTCTGTATCGTTGGGAATTAATTTTCGACACTCGGATTGCTCGAAGATCACGTGATCAAATTCGCCATTTGTTAGCTCGCATCTCAGATTACAATGCCGAATACACCTAATGTATCCAACTGATTCGTTAATACATAATGAACATCCATCTCGTTTAATATTTCTATTTTACAAATAGTGTATTTGAACTGTTATAATGTCTAAGTCTACAAACGCTCAAACAAATGTTATCAAAGAAATTGATGAAGTATATTGATGAAGTATATTAATATTTAATGAGGAAAGTAAATTTTAATTCTTTTTTCTTTATGAACTTGAGATTATATATTTGAAAACAAAGAATTTGCTTAATTTTTAGATTAAAACTTATTAGGTATAGTAAAAAGAAATCCATTATTTTTGCATGAAATTGAATGGAAAAATAATGGATTTCTTTTTACTACACCTAATATGTTGCACATATAGAAATAAAATCAAATATTAATATATTATATATTAAAGACTATATTAATATATTAATATATTAATATATTAAAGACTCTAACGAATATTAATCAAGTAATATAACTTATAAATTTCAAATTGTTGAAATCTATTTTGTAATGTAGTATTTTCTTTTAAGAAAACACCTTATGTATTAGGTGTACAACTTTGCTTCCACCGTTTTCCTATAGATGGCTTTAGCGGTAAGTGGTGGTCGAAATAAATAGATCATAGACGTCATACAATAAATTTGGGCATCTGTCAACATAACCCCATAGAAACATTAGTCGATTTGTCTGCATCATAAAGTTATTCTCTTATCTAATCTATATAGATTAAAAATGTCAGTTTACGAGCCAAATTCTCGTCATTTGCGGGAGGTTTTAATTTTTTGCTTCAATATGAAGAAATCTGTGGCTGAGGCTCATCGAATGCTCTCAAATACTTATGGTGAGGCCACTATTAGTGAAAGAACGTGTCGTGAGTGGTTTCAACGCTTCAAGAACAGTGATTTTGACGTCGAAGACCGGTATAGCGGTGGAAGAGAGAAGGTTTTCGAAGATGCAAAATTGGAGGCATTACTTGAGCAAGATTCGTGTCAAAATCAAGAAGAATTGGCACGATCATTGGGAGTGACTCAACAAGTCATTTAAAAACGCCTCAAAGCCAATGGGAATGATTCAGAAGCAAGGAAATTGGGTGCCGTACGAATTGAAGCCGAGAGATGTTGAACGGCGTTTGTTTGCTTGTGAACAGCTGCTTGAAAGGCAAAGACGGAAGGGATTTCTGCATCGCATTGTGACTGGGGACGAAAAATGGGTTTATTACGATAATCCCAAGCGCAGAAAATCATGGGGAGTTCCCGGCCATGCTTCCACGTCGACGGCCAAACCGAATATTCACGGCTCCAAGGTCATGCTCTGTATTTGGTGGGGACCAGCTCGGCGTAGTGTATTATGAACTGTTAAAACCGACTGAAACAATCACAGGCGATCGATATCGAACGCAATTGATGCGTTTGAGCCGAGCATTGAAAGACAAACGGCCGCAATACAACGAGAGACACGATAAAGTGATTTTGCAGCATGACAATGCTAGACCCCATGTTGCGAAAGTAGTCAAGACATACTTGGAAACGTTGAAATGGGAAGTCCTACCCCACCCACCGTATTCTCCAGACGTTGCTCCCTCTGACTATCACTTGTTTTGATCAATGGCACATGGCCTGGCTGACCAGCACTTCCGGTCTTATGAAGAAGTAAAAAATTGGATTGATTCGTGGATAGCCTCAAAAGATGATCAGTTTTTTCGACACGGGATTCGTACGCTACCTGAAAGATGGGAGAAAGTAGTGGCCAGCGATGGACAATATTTTGAATCATAAATGTATAACCAGTTTTTTACAATAAAGTCTCGAATTTCGGAAAAAAAATTTCGGCGGAAGCAAAGTTGTACCTAATATGAATCTGCTATATTCATGTATAACGATCTATTTTTAGTAGTATATAAGATTATTATCAGTTTTTAGTAAAGCGAAAGAAATTTTCAATAAGATATTTTTTATTTATTTTATAAAAATATACAATTTCATTTTATAATCTAATCTGTCCTTAAAGGATAGTTCTGTATCATTTAAAATTAATTCTTGGCATTCGGATTGCTCGAAGATTGCGTAATCAAGCTCCCATTAGTTAGCTCACATCTCAGATTTAGAGCCGGTTGTTTCATCTTTTAGTAAATTTTACCTGTGAGATAAATCTGGTAATCCGCACATGTGATTGGGTAATTTTGCTACTTATCCAATATGTAAAATTTATCAAAAGATGGAACAATCGGCTCTTACATTACCGAATGCACTTTATTAAATCGGTTCTACATTAGTTGCAAATCGATTGCAAATTTGTTGCGACAGCTAATCTGAAGTTTGCATTTTGAAATCAACGCTTCATATTGGCTGTCGCAGGCCATAGTTTACATGTGCATTTGATACGAGTACTAATTAGTAACTTTCTATTGAATAATCTTAATTTCGGTGATACATGTAAACATATACAATATGTGTATTTAATTATTTTGATGCATATTGTATCAATTTAGTACATCATTCTTTGAATACATCGCTGAAATTAAAATAATTTAATAGAAAGTTACTTGTTTTACTATATATATTTATTTTCGGCCCAACCGGATTTGCAACAATTTGGGTTAGAAAATGCTTCGCTATTGGTTGACGTTTACACACTCCACCAATAGGAGAGCATAAAACATCATTACCTTCAACCCGAGTTAGTGCAAACTCGATCGGGCTGAAAACGCTATAACTAGTTATTACTATTAGTATTAAATGCACGATATAATTAGGCAATAGGCATAGACATAATAAGAATAGAACGTGTACTCTGCTTTAGAGTGAAGATCAGATAAAAAAAGAGAGAAAGTAGATATTAGACTAAGAGCATGATACCTTATTCCCCCCTTCCTCCCTTTCCTCAGAAAGAGAAAGCTACATGATATCTATTGTCCTTTTCTACCTAGTTTTCACATTTTAAATCTCACACTCTATTCTTATTATGTCTATGATTATAGATCTATTTTCTGTGTACTTTTAGAACAATCTTAAAGTGAAATAGATATATGTTTTATATTTATTGAAAGCGAGAAAGAGAATTCTAGAACAATCTAGTCCAGGATAGAGAGTCAATTCTGTATCTTCAAATAAGGTGAAAATTACAAAAGTGAGCAAATTTATTAATAGCGTTTTCGGCTGATCGAATTTGGTTAACCTGAGTTGAAGTAATGACTTTGGTCAATATCTAGTGAATTTGCTCACTTTTGTTATTTTAACTTCATTTTAAGACACTCAATCGACTATCAGAATCGATCCTCAGAAAATAGATAATATAGCAGGATAGCTATCATAAAACTTTGTGTACCTTCCAACAAGCGACACAGTCATTTTTGTTTAACATTGGCAAACAATAAGATGATCGGTTGTGGATTTGAATGGAAGAAAATTATAAAAGTAAACAAAGGTTACTAAATAGTATTGACCAATTAAATTATGAATATTATAGTGAATTTGCTCACTTTTGTAATTTTTATCTTATTTGAAGAAACACAATCGAAACTCCAAAAATGTAATGATCTATTGTATCACACCGTGTCATTTGTGTCGCTTGTTGGAAGGTGCACATTATCATCAGGACTGCGGATTTCCACACGGATATTCCTCGGGTGTCATCAATAGATCTAGAAGGTCAGTTCGCGTTGCTTGCACTTTTGGCATCGACATCTTTACTTTCTCTTTTTAAGGCAAAATATGTATCTATTTTATTTTAAGTTTAAAAAGATTTGGGGATTTCATGCAATGCGAACTGATCTTTTATTTCGGATCTAAGTTCGGATCTACAATAGGTGTTTTAAGCCTTAAGCCATATGAAACTGACCAATTACAGTCAAATGTAACAAGAATAATTGATTGTGATTCGTCCATTATGGCTTAAGATTTAAAAATTTATTGTCCGGGCTAAATAACAAGAATGATATGACATCCGGGTAGCATCCAGGTGGGAATCCGAACGCAGCCTAGAATGGAAAGTGAAAAATGAAAATTTTTAACTATTGAAGTTGGTGGAGAAATTTTTCACTTTTCACTTTTCATCTTATGAAAAAAATTTCATGATTAATATCCAGGGAATCGATTGTGTATTTTAAAATGAGACAAAAATAACAAAAGTAAGCAAATTTATAAATATTCATAATTTTATTGGTCAATATCTAGTGAATTTGTTTACTTTTGTAATTTTCGCCTTATTTCAAGATCAACTCCCAGGAATTATTGATGGATTAAACGTAGTTGCTAGGAAACTCGATATTCATAATAAATTAACAAATATGTTACTCAAGAAGTCGTTTAACTAATACTCCTAAATTTATACAATTTTTAAATTTGATGTATACCAATATCATGTAAGTTGAAAATACAAATGTAGAAAAAAGAAAAAAACGAAAAAAACCTAATTAGAAGAAAAATTGCCAATATTGAGCCTTATAAGGAATTTACAAAAGAAAATGCCTTGCGATGGTAAAAACCCAAATTGTGATAGAAGACGCGATTTACTAGCGCAATTAAAATGTTTAATCAGTTCAATGGATAGGAAGTAAGATTGTATTTGTCTGCATAATTAAAAATAAGAAAGTGTGATTTATTTGTATATTGTATATTGTATATTGTAGGAAACCATGTGAATGGGATGAGTCATGTCGTCCAATAGTATACTGTCCTACAAAATTATCTTTATGTACTCCACCTTACTGTGTGAGTAAGAGTTAATTTTCATTAAAGCAATGTTTTTTATTATTTCTTTTTGAAGAACTTTATACAGTTTTCATGACTTATATTAATAAAAGCTTAACCTTTAAAATATTTTTAATTGTTTATAAAATTACATATTAAACTACTCATGAAATATATGATACATTGAATGTTAAAAAAATATTGCAGGAATCTGTAAAATCATGTAAATTATTTGATTTTCGAGCAAGTATAATGTATAGATGCGAATGCATAAAAAGGAATGGTTTACAAGATAGATGCATGATGTGGGATTGCATGGGTAGACCAGAGTGCATGACAAAATTATACCCAATTTGTGAACCCGGTTGCACTGCATTGATGAAGTTGACAGATTTAGGTGACGTGGACACTGCCCTTAGGAAATTTTACTATGCGGATCAAGCTAGAGAGACAGCTCTAGCTGCATATTGTAGATTAGCTTGTGACGAAGCTTGTCAAAGAGAAATTATGTGTGACAATAAGAATGAAACTCTTTGTGCTTCTGGAATGTCCAATTGCGTATCAAATCCATATCAATTTTGTGTACCATCGCCATATATAATACCATCTTGCGATATATATTGTACACCTTACAATTAGAAAAATCATCTCTTCCATGTAATGTATTCTATTAACGTATATATCTACTTGCTTATAACAGGCATATTCTTTTTGACTGAATTTTTGCATCTTTCTTCTTTTTTTTCTTTTCTTCTAAAGAGAAAAGGAAGAAAAATGAACTGATGCAAAAGTTTAGCTAAAAAGAAAAGCCTTTTGTATGTTTTATTGGGTATATTTAGATGAATTCAGAACGATAATAATTGTTCATAATCGGATCTTATATTTAAGACTATCTTAAGTACAATCTTGAAATATCATGAACCAATCAGAGAACTGCATCTTAAGACATTACTTATTACGGTCTTAAATATAAGATCCGACTATGAATATCGACCAATAGATACATTCAGTACTGAGCGTTCAGTGAGCTCTTGCATCTGATAGTATATTCTGTTAGAATAAGTTTGGTCTAAATATAGACCAAACAGGTACAAGAGCTAACTGAGCACTCAATGAACAGTCGTGCTTCTGGATCGCATCTATTCTGGTCGTGCATCTATTAAGCATTCAATGAGTTTCACTTGATTGGCATATTCTTTTAGATCTTAAAATGTAGACCAATTAAATCTAAGAACTCATTGAATGATTAATGACTCATTTTCTCGTTCTAAATGCACCCATTGTTTAATTACTTAATTCTTAAGATTTTGTTTTTTATTCCATTGTCTTCACATTTTTGTAAAAAAATTTCTTAAACTTAGAGATATATTAAGTTTATATTAATTGTACTTTTTGCGTCTCTCTTGTAATAATTATTTCACAAAATATATAGTGTATTATTTAATACTCAATAAAAAGAAAAGAAATTTGATAGAAGCTAGACATCTTTTGCAATTACATAATTAGATCTTTTTAATTAGATCTTTTTAATTTTTTAATTTTATTTGAATTATTTGTTATAGTAGTATTCATTTAAGCCCGATCTACAAAAGTCGCAGAATACCTAAGATGCATTATAAAAGATACAGTCAACGCGATGCTACAAATGTTTTGAAGCACTTTTCGATTGGTCAATTTGTAAAATTTTTTTTTCTAATTGGTCAACCAAAACGCTTCTAACATTTGTAGTGAAACTTTGATCGCAGTCGAACATCAAACAAGGAAAGATTCAGTACCAATTTCATGCAAAGTAGGACGATATTCGATATAGTCGATTCTTAGGGAGCATTTATATTGTCACTAGCCGTATGCCATATGCTAATCATCTTCGAGTATTCCCTTCTTATCGCCGAATGAGAGGGGAATACTTGACTGTGATTAGTCAATTCTTACAGATTACAGCATACAGCATGATTACGGCCAATATAAACGCTCTTTTACATCTAAGATTGCCTTAAGTATAATCTTAAGAGCGGAATCCATAGACGTTACGCAAGATTCGAAATGGTCTTAAGCTAGTGCATGAACCGCATGAATCAATCAAAAAGCCATATTGGCATTTTAAGATATTGTTTGAGATTAAGAACGAACTATGAATTCCGGCCTTCCGGAATGATGTAAGTCAATCCAGGGACTGTATTAGCAGAGAGAAATCTGTGAGAGGACATGCTGGCCCAAAACCTGCAATCGCAAAATGCTGCCGCGCACTACCGCCCTTTGAAGAAGTGGATGTTAACTACATAACAATATCCACTTTTTTTGCGATGCTCCTGATGGAAATAGATAATTAAAAATTAATTAACTTTTGGCGATTAACTAACTTTTTTGGCTGTTATGAAATAGTTCACGAGAAATTTTTCGCAAGTAACGAAATGCCTAAAATGTGAAATTCTAATTATTTTTTAATAAATTGATATAAATTAACTTGTTTTTCGATCTTTTGATCTGTTTTCTGTTCTTGCATTAGACTGCACTAGAATTCTCTCGCTTTCGACAAATATCGAATATTTGAATATCTATCTGTAATGGATATTGCGTGGCTTCTTGCCGTAAATAATGCGAACGAAGAGGAAGAGCATGCAGTTGACAGCGAAAACTTCGCATATTAAGAAAACGTTTGCGTAATGTTAAATTAAATATATGAGTAAAAGATAAAAATATGAAGTGCATAAAAATCATATGAAAATTTAAAAATGAGAATTATAAAAAATAGAGATTTATAAAACAAGTTAAAAAATAACCTCTTTCCATTCAGATGAAGATTTTTTCGGTCCAATCCGAAACAATTTAAGGTTTATGCTATATTCTCCCATACATTTTTCTACGAGTTTTAAATATATTTTTACTACATACAATCAAGAACAAGAGTAATGAAATAACATATTTTTACCAGTTCCATATGGCTCTGAGAATTTCGCGACACTCTTCCCTACGCAATATCCAAATTTTTTATGTCCAACAGCATGTCCTTTTGTTTTTTAGTTACATTCATTGTTATTCTCGATTATGTATAAGGAACAAATAATGAGCACAATATGATTTTCTATCAAAATACGTATGTATATGTATACATATGTATAATATATATAATACACCCGTGAACATTTGTTAAATTTTCGTAAATTTAAAAGGAACAAAAATTCGCCTTATAATCTCACTTTCTCTTAACTTCCTTACATCTGATCTCATTTTCTCATAATTTTCTTACATAATCATTAAGTCTGATATCGTTTGAAAGTGAAACGTTTGAAACTAAAATTGGTACGTACGAAAAGAGGAAAAAAGTTTTGTAAAAATTTAATTGACCATGAATTAGTGGTCTTTGGAGTTGAACAAATCATAAATTGGAATGCAATGCGACTCGAATCGGAAGAATAAAAAAATAATGTAAATAAAATGAAAATGGCGAGATGCCCCTTCAAACATTGGACGCCTGCGATTATGACACTTCCACGCCGCAAGGCCGCATCAAGATGAATGAAGAGACTGTGAGTAATGTAATGCAATGGCACATCAAAGCCGGCAGCGTTTTTTAAAAATATAATCGAGATGACATGATACCTGAGATGAGAGGAAACACATCCGATCCGCTTGAATGGTCTCACGAGATTCGAGACACGAGACTTACTCACACTTTCCACTCATTGGTTGGATAAGTTATTCCTTTTCCATTACTATAAGTTTCTATGATGGTCATATACTATCAAAAAAAGTGGTGGAGATATGTTCTTAGTGCTTGCACTTTACATTTTCGTTGTTAGAAGTTAGAGCTCGGTAAAAAATTTTTCATATAATATATTTATTATTATTATATAAGAAAACATAGACGTTTCGGTCAAGATTTGACCATCATTAGTACATACAGATGACAATAAAGAATTACAAACAAGTTTATTAATTAAGAACGCAAAATTGCTAATCAAAGAAGTGTTAATATAGTATCAAGATGACAAAAAAAGAAGTGCATAATATTGAAAAAATTATCATAAGTCAATAAGACAAGTCAATAGTAACAAATTCTTTTCCTTTTCAATTGCTTGTGGTACGCGTTAATTGAATAAGATAAAGTCCATAGAATGAAATTTATCAACAAAAATATATATTATATATATTATATATTATATTAAAAAAGGAAAAAAAGAAAAAAATTTTTTTATAATAACACATCTGGCGACTACTATGTTCCGTTTGTGATTCCTTTTTTATGGAAGCAAAGAATGACTTCGTGTGAGAATACGGAATTTCCAGATTCTATTTATTTTAAAATTTAAAAATTAAGGAAAAGAAAAACACTTTTTAATAATTAAAATATTTTAGACACTACAATGATTAATTATGAAGGTCAAATATAAATTCACATTAAAGCTCGCTTATTACGTATTTTTTAACACAAGTCCTCGCAGATGTAACTCTGAGTACTCCAATTAAAAAAAAAAAAATCGAGAAAAATCTGAACAAATGGTAAGAATTACTGCTGACAAATTTTTGGAAGATTATAGCTTGCGAACATTTATTTATATAGGGTGAAGGAAAAGAATATTAATGGAGAGGATAGTTCTATGTGTGAGTAGAGGGAATTTTTCCGATGATTGGTAAGTAGATTTCAGGAAAGCGTTCTGCGTCACTTTGTTTAAGCAAATATCTTGTCGTTTAATATGGATCATTTCGGAGACCATCCTTTTAAGATTGTTCTTTCAATCGAGAATACTAACATTTTTTCAATCAATTGTATCAGGATCAAGTTTGTGACAAGAGATAACAGACAAAGAATTAATAGGTTTTTTGAAATCATTTATGTGTTCTTTTAAACGCATCCTTAATTTTCTTTTTGTCTGTCCTACATAAGAGTAATCATGACAAATAATTTTATAAACAATATTAAAGTGTTCTTCTTTTTTGATTTTGTTTTTGCCTTTAATGAAATTGTTCATACAATTCATTGATTTATAAGCTACATTGAATTTTCTTGTAATAGATTTGAATTTTTCAGAGAATAATAATTGTTTGAATAAAAATGATACACACGTACATATTTTTTTATATCTTTATTTTTACAATTTGTCATTTAAATAAATTAATAACTTCATAATATATAGTTATTTAATACATTTAGAGAACAAGAAACATGTTCGGCTTATACATATAATTTTTTTATAAAACTATTTAAGATAAAACAGTATGATATAATGATACAATATTTAGCAATAAAAAATTAATCATAAATATCGTTATTAATTGCTTTAAACAAGATTCATTAACGATTTTTATATTATTTCATATTTATGAACTTAAAATATGGTCATGTGTCAGAGATCATTTGCACGCCGATTAATCTTATTATAGAAGCTACAGAATATAAATGTTGATACTCATTAATAATTTGATATTAATAGTTTGAATATCTGACAAAATCAGAGTCGAGAATATACATTATAATTATATAATAAAATATAACGAACTAGTATTATTTTATTATACTATACATATATGAACTTATAAAATAGATATATGCTAATATATGATGATGATATATAATGATTATAGACATCATATAACACTCTGTTTTTTACATAAATATTCTAATTAACATATTCTTTCGA